AAGGTAGATTAAGATGGAATATCAGAAAAATAAATGGCCTAACAGTTAGAACAATTCAACAGTGTGATCAGTTACCAGAGAAATGGTGAACTGATTTCAACTTAGATGTATTCAAGGGGATTTCTGCATTGAAATAGATGTTAGAATTAAGGAACTAAATGAGCTAATGGCTCTATGATCCCATAGGTAGATTAGTAGTCTTAGGAACAAGTTAGCCAAAATACAGTATGAATGGTTCTTGGTGGGTTTTTGTGACATTCCAATTTACTACGTTAAATTATTTAAATAGCAGCCACTTTGTAACTGCCCAAATGGTGGGCACTGCAGCAGAGAAGGCTCTTCTTCTAGATCAGTGTTTCTCAACTTTGGAAGCTTGAAGATGGGTGGACTTCAACTCCCAGAATCCCCCAGCCAGCGCTGATAGTCAGAGATCTTTGACCAACGAGGTCCGAAGTAGGCCCTCTCTGCCAGCACAAGACAGGCTTGTCTTATTAGCAGGACCAGGTGGTTCATCAGGTAGTCTGGAACTATGCCATTAAACCTTTAAAAGTCATAACCAACATCTTGAACTACACTTGGAAACAGACTGGTAGCCAGTGACATTTATGGAGCAGAGGTGTAATAGGGACAGGAGATGCAAGATTTATATTGGAGCACAAAAATCCATCCATTTTATTTGTTCTTTTGGACCTTAAATATTTCGGCCTAGTTCAGATATCCTTCAGGGACTCAATTTTATTCATACGCATGTGTCTTCTAAATCTAGACCAGGGGTGTCAAACTCCATTTTATTGATGGCCACATCAGGGTTGGGTTTGATCTCGAAGGGCCAGGGGGCATGTGGGGCATGGCCAAGGTGGGTGTGACATGGGACCTGTGGTGGCCAAGTGCTAAGGCAGGACTTCCCTGAGACCCACCCTCCCTCTCATAACCTTCCTTCCTTCCTTCCTTCCTTCCTTCCTTCCTTCCTTCCTTCCTTCCTTCCTTCCTTCCTTCCTTCCTTCCTTCCTTTTCTTCCTTCCTTCCTTCCTTTTCTTCCTTCCTTCTCTTCTTTTTCATTTCCTTTTCCTTCTTCTTTCTTCTTCCTTCCCCTTTCCTTATTTTTCCTTCCTTGCTCTTTTCCCATTTTCCCTTCTTTTTCTTTTTCTTTCCTCTTTCCCCTTTTCCTTTCCTGTCTCTTCTTGCATGCTCAAATGCAAAAGGGGAAACATTTCTCCTTTTGTTTTGTTTTTAGTTTGTTTTGATAGCCCCCTGCCAGTGAAAACGGAGCACTGGGGGATGCCCCCTATGCTCCGTTGTCACCGGCAGTGGGCTGCAGAAGGCCATCATGGCTGAAAATGTGCAGGGTGCAGGGTGCAGGGTGATGTACACAGCCTTCCCATGCTCCATTTTCATTGGCAAATACACCACGGGCCTTATGTTTGACACCCCTCAGTAAATTACCTGGAAGATCTCAACTAGTTGAGAACACTGTCTCAACATTTTTGTTAGATTATTCAGGCATCTGGAAGAGCACAATCACTTGTGTTCCTGATATAGGAATGCTACAGCCAAGAGCAGAGGTTCTTGATATTATTTGACTCCCAGAAACTACGACTCCATTGCCAGTTGGCTGCTATGTCCAAATGCTACCAATTGTAATTTTTAATGTAACGAGTGGAAAATGATTAAATATATGATGGGAGAATAATCAGATCAACCAGCTTTAATTAAATTTCAATGAAATGAATAGAATTTATTGCCCATCGCTGCCTCTGGCATACAATTCAAAGTCAAACATTGCCATGGATAACATTGCGTGCCATTGCAGAAGCTTCAGAGCTGAATGGACTGGATTTCTTGCTCTATTGAGCAAAGCACTGGGTAGGCACTCCAGAGAGCTTCTCAAGCTTCATTCCTAATATAACAATGTACACGAGAGTACTTGTCAAGCTCAACATCTTGCTTTTTGTTGTTGAGGTTGCTTAGTGTAACCTTTGCATGTTCCCGGCCACTGAAAGTTGGCAGAAGTTCAGTTCAAATATTTGATTGCTCAGTGATTCCTCTCTCTGACTCTCTCTCTGTCTCTCTCTCTCTATCTGTCTCTATGTCTCTGTCTCTGCCTCTCTCTCTGTCTCTCTGCCTCTCTCTCTATCTCTGCCGCTCTCTCTGTCTCCGTCTCTCTCCATTTCTGTCTCTCTCTGTCTCTCTCTGTGTCTCTGTCTCTCTCTCTCTGCCTGTCTGCCTCTCTCTCTGTCTCTGTCTCTCTCTCTCTGTCTCTCTGTTTCTCTCTCTCTGCCGCTCTCTCTGTCTCCATCTCTCTCTGTCTCTGTCTCTGTCTCTCTCTCTCTCTCTCTGCTTGTCTGCCCCCACTCTCCCTGTGTCTGTCTCTCTCTGTCTCTCTCTCTCTCTGTCTCTCTGTGTTTGTGAGTGTGTGTGCCTTTGATTCAATTTTTGACTCCTAGCAACTGCCAGGACTAGACCCTGCAGTTTTCTTGGCAACGTTTTTCAGAAATGATTTGCCCTTGCCTTCTTCCTAGAAGAACCCTTCTCTCTGAGAGAGTGACTTTCTCTAGTTGCTAAGGCGGAACTAGAATTTACGGTCACACAATTTCTAGTCTGATTCTTTAACCACTGCATCAAACTGGTTCTGCAGTGCTTCGTCTTCAGTGGCAAAATGTACTTTGGATGGCATGGGGACAATTTATGTAGCATTAATCTGCAGCTGAATATTTTCCTGGGATTACAGCAGTGGTGGGTTGCCTCCGGTTCAGACCGGTTCGCAAGAACCGGCAGTAAAACTGGTGGGAGGTCCCACCCACTGCCCCAGATGTTGTCATTGGCGATCTGTGCATGTGCAGAAGAAAGGCGCGTGCGCGCTCCCGTTGTGAACTGGTAGTAAAGGTAAGTAGAACCCACCCCTGGATTACAGGATATGCATTTTGCAAGTGCTTGGAGGAATAATAGGACCATCGTTTTCTTGACCCTTTTTGACATGATCATTGAGGTTTATTCTGTTTTCAAACTTGCATAGATCTGAACTATCTTCCCTACCTCCCATGTTGTTTAAAAAAAGATACAATTATTTGCCTTTTTTTGGGCGGGGGGAAGGTGAGGGAAGAATTGGGAATTATTTATGTATATATGTATGTATGTATGTATGTATGTATGTATGTATGTAATTTATATGCCGCCCTTCTCCCGTAGGACTCATTTTACATGCATTTTACATCTTACATGCATCTTCAATCCCACTCCCCCTATCTAAAAAAATTAACATTTGGTGATGCGGTTATTTTAATTTAAAATGAGAATGATGTTTTATTTAAAAGCTTGATGCAATTTAGAAGCTATCTTTTTGGAAAACAATGGTTCAGATATCTTTGGGGCCAAGTGGATCCTACTGATGTGAAATTATTTGTTGAGGTTTTCAGAAAATGTTGCTAAATATCTTACAATTGGGTCAATTGTCACCTTAAACAGATACAAAATTCACATGTAGCAGAGGTTTATGGCCACACTTAAATACCGTATTTTTTCATGTAAAAAGTGCTACTTTTTATTTAAAATATTTACTTGAAAATGTATCGCTGTCTTATACACATGTAGAAAGTTAGCACCCACCCCTCTCCTAGAAGAATGAAATATTCTAGGAAATATTAAAAATGCAGAATATTATACCTCCCTGGATGAGAAAAGGAGAAACATGCTCTTGGAAAGCAGGCCCCACCTTTGCTAATAGCCCCAGAAAGACTGGTGCCAACCTATCTACAAGACAAAAGGCTGGGCCAGCTTACCTACAATACAAAAGACCTTCACCCTCAGGACATAATAGGATTAGCCCTCTACCCATCTCACCACATGGCACCTGGGTGTCAGGGTTCTGATGGATGCCCTAACTAAATCATGAGCCTCAAGCCAAACTTCAAACGAAATCCAGTTATTTATTAGGAGCTTCATGTTGGCACATTCCAAGTGAAGCCAACTCTGACCGCAAGTAATTTATGCCCCAATCATGACCCTGTTTCCCCCCTCCCCCCAGGGTGTGTTATCAATCACATTTGCCAACAGAGCAATTTCGTGGATTGTAGAGATCACTCCCCTCCAGCTGCTGTGGGTAACCCTGGGAGACAGCCTTGAGAGAGATGTGTGTGGAATGTGCTTTTGTATTTGGCTGCCATGCTGCTTCATCGGTTTCCCATCCCCCTTGCCCATAGCAACTCGAGAGCAGCCCAGGGATGCTTTGCGAGTTGACACTGGGGAGATTGCATCACTCAGCAAGATTCAACCAAGCCTGGGACTCAAGACAACCTACAAAGTTACCCCTGCATGGCCCCATGGGAGTCTGACAACCAGTCAGAATACATTTCTTACACAGGAACAAGAAGCTCCAAGGCGGGGCCCAAGAGAGGGTATAAATCTCTTTCACTCTCTCACCCATGTGCTCATTTTTCCCAGGACCTCAAACCATGCGCTCCTGTCCACCATTAAACCATCTTTCTAAATAGACTCCATGTTTTCCAGTGTCTTTCTCCCCACTTGGAACTGAAGCCAGATGGACATTTCTTCCAACACACAGGAGGCCGAGAGGAGAAGGCTGCACATGCCGGATGAGCCTCTATCTTATATGCAGCTCTACCATTCTTCTCTATTGTAATTGTTTCCTATATCACATTGCCATTCAAGGTTTCATCTCTATTGTTCCTATGATGCATTTCCTGTTCTTCTTGTATTACTCACTCTAATAAGATGGCTTCTGCACAGTGATGACTTATAGTGCACAGTGTGCACTATTATAAGATGCTTCTGCACCCTTATAAGATGCTTCTGCATAGTGATGGCTTTATAGAAGCTACATGAAACATTTTATGTCTTATACATGGGGATGAATTATATATGGAAAAATACGGGTAATCACCCTCTCAAATACTTTCCCCCCAAATAATCTCCATTTACCTTTGTTTTAGACATGGACAAACGAAACCACATGATTTAGTATCTGACAGGACATAAGATAAAAGTCAATAAAAAGAGAATAATTTATTAAAAAGATCTAATGTTACAAGAACAGTACACAGGAACCAGTATTTTACTGTGTCTTTCACATAGTATATACCATTATATATAGTAAATATATACAAGTTGTATACAAGTTTTCTAATATTTTTGAGTTGGACCTTCTTTTTGGTTTTTAAGCCAAGATTGTTTTTTTTCCCCCTTCCAATCACGTTCAGTTATTAGGACATTATACAAAAATACAGTCTTTCTAGTTATGTTGGACTGTTTTGTTACACGGTAATCCAAAGAAAGTGTAATAAATGAATGAATTCATATTTGCAGTCAACAAACCCACCGTGACAATATTGTCAGCAAATTAGGATCATGACATGGAGATGTTGTCTTTGATGAAGTAGTAAATATGGTAACAGGGCAGTAACTAAAAAATAATGTTGCTTATTATGCAAAATCTAGCTTCTGTCCAGGCATGTCATATACCTGTCTAACTTAGTTAAGACCTTACGTGAGGCTGACTTCAGGGCAGTTAAATAAATCATGGCCATTCAGATGTATCATAACCAAGGCAACTTGTACTGCTCTGCTTATGGTAGTTTGCTACAGTAGATCTTAACTGATGATAGAAATTCAAAATATTATTGGTCCTGAACAGGGATGCTGCGAGCATATGAGTTCACATTGTGGGTGATGAAATGCCAAACATGCCTATCAAGAATTCTAGTTCTCTTCAAAAAGCTTTTCCTTTTAACATGCCACTCACCATTAGCCTGAAAAATAAAAACAGAAAACATGGGGCTGATCCTGATGGGGGAAACTCTAGTGTGGTGTCATTAGGAGGTGATTTATGGGCGGAGGCCATAAAACTATAAGAAGCAGAAAAGGTGATGACTGCTGAAATGTAATGTGGCTGAATGATCACATTTGAAACAAGCCAGATAGCCCGACTTGATTGTACTGAGACCTATTGTTGTGGCCCACCAGCAGACAGTGGAGCTGGCAGCAGATTCGGACAGTGAGGAGGATGGGGAGGAACATGGGCCAGTCCTGGAGTCTGGGGAAGGCTCTGATGAGGGCTCTGCATCAGAGGCAGAGATGGGGTCAGGGCCATATGCCAGTTATCAGCTGCCTTCGGAGTCAGACACCAGTGAGGCAGATGAACAGCTGGAGCCTGTTCCCAGTATGCAAATGCACAGAGTTGCCAGATGAAGGGAACACCTAAAGAACAAGGGTCGACTTGGGAGTAAGGCCACAGATGGACGATGAATGGCCCTTCCCAGAGGGAATAAAAGAGGAGCGAAAGGGGAATGGAGTTTGCAGGAGACAATTAGTTTGCTTAATTGGTTCGTGACTCGCAGAGATTTCTTGCCAAGTTTTGAAGATATCGGCCTGGCAGCTCTCCAAGCCAGATAAGGTCTGTGACTCTAAATTCTCCCTTGAAAGACTTTGCTGGATGTGAATGAGAGGAATTCACAGTAACTAAATAAAAAGGGGTTTTTGTCAGGACAAGGAGTCTGCTTCATGCTCTTGGGAAGCCTAAGTCAGAACACCTTTTAAGATCGCAGGAGTGTCAAACTGGTGGCCCGCAACCCAGATGTGTCACATGCAGGCCATGCCCACCCCAGATCTGCAAAAGCAAAAAAAAATGTCATGATACATCATGTGACATCAACATGACGTAGTGAGCTTGACATCCGTGATCTAGAGTCAAACACTAGAAGTCAATGGGACTTAGTTACTCTTGTTTAACTTAAATACCATTGATTTCAACAGCTCCAGTTTTCATCTGGATTTGATGACACATTTTCATCTAAAGAACCCTCCTTCTGAATTCACGTTCATTGTCTAAAATGAATTAAGTTACTGGCAAGTTCAGGGTTTTTTTAAAAATATTATTTGGGGGAAAAAACCCTCCACAAACTCATATGTGATAAAGTCGTTATGCTGACAGTAATGAAATCTTTTGAGCTAAAGAGGAATAACGTTTTAGGGGACTGGAGGCTAAAACATATAAACAATGATTGCTGGAATTAGGTGTGTCTAGTTTGATGAAAAGAAGGACTAGTGAGTGACATGATAGCAGTATTCCAATATTTCAGGGGCTGCCACAAAGAAGAGGGAGGCAAGCTATTTCTCCAAAGCACCTGAGGGCAGGACAAGAAGCAGTGGGTGGAAACTAATCAAGGAGAGAAGCAACTTAGAATTTAGGAGAAATTTCCTGACAGAACAATTAAATTTGCCTCCAGAAGTTGTAAATGCTCCAACACTGGAAGTTCTTAAGAAGAGATTGGATAACCATTTGTCTGAAATGGTATTATAGGGTACTATACTATAGAAATGGTACCAGGGGGTTGGACTAGAAGACCTCCAAGGTCCCTTCCAACTCTGTTATTCCATTCTATTTTATGTCTTGATATTGATAGCTCTTCCATTTGCTGCTGAATACTGCTAGCGATGACTGTTCACCCTATTTTCAAAACACTCTTCTAAGACCAACTTTTAATTAAAAAGCTATCTAATACAGGGGAGCTTTACTGCTAAACACTAAGAAAAACGGAAAGCTGTAGCTGTAAATCCAACAATTAGCAGCAAAATTGAGGAGGTATATAGATATAGTGGTCACAGGCTTCCCCACTATATTTTGTAATTTCCAATCAAATAATGGAATTGATCACTCTATGTGCATCTCCATGTAAATGTTATGGTATGTAGAGTTAAATCATGTATATGTTACCAACATAACCCTGGTATGATGGTTATGTTTAAGTAAGGCACTGGCTATGATACCTAGTTGGGTAATGCAAGCAAACAAACAACCAAATTCAGAGAGCACCAAGTACTCCAAAGTCCAACCCCGAGTACCAGTGCTGGGTTTCAATTTTTTTTACTACCGGTTCTGTGGGTGAAGCTTGGTAGGTGTGGCATGGCTTGGTGGGCATGACAGGGGAAGATTAGTGCAAAATCCCCATTTCCTCCCGATCAGCTGGGACTCAGGAAGCAGTAAATAGATGGGGCAGGGCCAGTCAGAGGTGGTATTTACCAGTTCTCCGAACTACTTTTCCGCTACCGGTTCTCCAGAACTGGTAAGAATCTGCTGAATACCACCTCTGCGAGTACCCATCTTCTCTTATTGGTAATGGTTAAGTGACCACTACATGTTGGGAAGGATGCAATAAGGATTGTCTAATAACCTCATCAGAGGTCTAGTATAACATACTGACTTCTGGATTTGTCATCCACCAATCCCATCTGACAGTTTTGAAAGGCTCTGAATGAAAATCTAATTTTCATTGTAGGAGTGGTAAGCTTCTGGTATACTTTGATGATATTTATCCTTTTGTATTTTTAAAGCAACAACTGGCTCAACAGCAGTAATGGTGAGAGGGATTTTGGTATGGACAACTACTTAAGTATGAGCCAACAATGTGCTGCAGCTGCCAAAAAAAAGCCAGTGCAGTCCTACGCTGCATCAAAAGAGCGATAGTATCAAGATCACATCACTGGTAAGACCACCCTTGGAGTATTGTGTCCAATTTTGATCACCATGACACAAAAAAGATGTTGAGATCAGGGGTGGGTTCTAAATTTTTTTACTACCGGTTCTGTGGGCATGGCTTATTTTGTGGGTGTGGCTTGATGGTCATGTGACAATTCTTTAGGATTTAGCAGAGGTACTGGTCTACTAGGCTTTTAACTGCTTGCAGAGCTGTACCGGTCTACTCATTTGTTTTTGGAGGCACTGGTCTACCACCACACTGCCTTTTAACACTGATCATCTGTAGGGCGGCCCTTTGAAGCCCTGCGGCAAGAATTTAAACAATTTTTTTTCTTCTAGCCGATCAGTTGGGACTCGGGAGGCAGCAATAGATTGGGGGTGGGGCTAAATAAAAGGTAAGAATAATGCAGGCGGGAGGATGGGGGGGCAGCTCCCGAACAAAGAGAACTGGTTTGGTGACGTCATATTGTCACCGCTACCGGCTCGGCCGAACTGGGCCGAACCGGGAGGAACCCACCACTGGATCACATCACTGGTAAGACCACACTTGGAGTACTGTGTCCAATTTTGATCACCACGATACAGAAAAGATGTTGAGACTCTAGAAAGAGTGCAGAAAAGAGCGACAAAGAAGATTAAGGGACTGGGGGTGTTAAACAGTTGTGAGAACTGTCTCATCTATCAAAGAGAAAGATTAGGGGTGAGTCTTCCAATATTTGAGAGGTTGTCACAGAAACAAGGCGGTCTACTTCCTACCTTAAGCACTTGAGGGCAGGATAAGAAGTAACAGGTGGAAAGTTATCCCAGGAGAAAACCAAGCTAGAACTAAGGAGAAATTTTCTGGCAGTGAGAACAATTCATCAGTGGAATGGCTTGCCTCCAGAAGTGGAGGGTACTCCATCACTGGAAGTTTTTATGACCAAACAACCATGTACAGGTCTCTTGCTTGAGCAGAGTTTAGACTAAAAGTCACCCAAAGTCCCTTCCAACTCTATTATTCTTTATTCAAAAGCAAATTCTAGTAAGAGTGGAATGTGCTGTCAATACAAATTATTGGTTATGCAAAGCCAATTCTCTGTGTGCTTGTCGGCATTTTCCACAACCTGCATTGGGAAAATATTTCTCTCCTAAAGTAAATTTCTTTTACTAATTTAACACCATAGGGCTTTTTAAAAAAAATCTCATCTTGTCCCACTCTGTCTCTTGAAATAGGATGGTTGAAGATAATAGGGAGCAAAGGACGGGAAGACCACTAATATATATATAAAAAAACAACTCAGGGTGCAAATATTTGGGTTGTGGTTGAGAAAAAGACAGTTTCTCTTGAATATAATGTAAAGTTCCATTACAGTACATGTTCTGGAAAAAAAAGAAAGCATAATGAAGCTACTTCTAGATCGCATAAGTATGTGCAGGGAAGCTTTATATTAGTATTCATTTTATTCAAATTCTCTGGCACTATCCATCTTCTCATGAGCCCTTTTCAGCCCTACTGTGATAGAATGCCTTGGTACAGAAGTATTTTGCATATGAGAAAGTAACATGCATAGGGACATGGGGAGAAGGCAGTGGCAATGGTGGCAGAGGAGGAGGAGGAGGAGGAAGAGAAGGAAGAGGAGGAAGAGAAGGAGGAGAAGGAAGAGGAGGAGGAGGAGAAGAGAAAGGAGGAGGAGGAGGAAGAGAAGGAGAAGGAAAAGAGAAAGAGAAAGGAGGAGGAGGAAGAGAAAGAGGAGCAGGAGAAGGAGGAGGAAGAGATGGAAGAAGAGGAGGAGGAGAAAAGAAAGAGGAGGAAGAGGAAGAGAAGGAAGAGAGGAGGAGGAGGAAGAGGAGGAGGAGAAGAAGAGAAAAAGGAAGAGGAGGAGGAGATGATGATGATGATGATAAGAATTAAAAATTGATCCAACACTACAGGCTGTTTTGACGCTAGACCTTGGATATGGAAAGGTTAAAGGCTTTGACTCTTAAGCCTGAGAACCTTAAAAGCATTTGCCCAACCATATTCCTTTTCATTTTTGGACATTTAAAAAAAAAATGTCCTTGGTTCATTATTAAGGACAATCTAGGCAACACCACATCGTTCCAATCTTGAAATGCTTATTGATACCATTTTGCTAAATCACCAAATATAGACAGTACAGTACCATACAAAAGGAACTACAAAAATAAAGGTCTAAAGACAGAAAGCTGTTTGGGGAAGACAGCTTTGTCTCTCTTCATTAATTTCATACTTGCAGTTAGCAATGGCCGAAGACTCGGATTCAGTGTCCAACAATGATTTCAGGATCACCTGCGCGCCCTATCATGTATAGTTATGCTATTAAAAATAAGCCATTTTTTCCCCTCCCTTATTGTTAGTGGACAATATCTAATACAAAATGAGAGGCCTCAGTTTTAGTCTCAGTTCAATAGGCTTCCGGTTTACATGGATCTGGAAAAGTGGTTTATGATGTGCATGGAGAATACAAACGGAGAAGAAAACAGAAGAAAAAATACCACACCATACCAAAGATCATAATTATATGATTTTTCCCCCCCTTAAAGGCAACATTAGCTACGGTCATTTTTGAAACCAGGTCACATCATGGCATTTTTCTCTTGATAAGTAAAAAAATTAAAACAAAACTCAGCCTTCTGAGAAGGGGAGGGATAATTCGCTAGAATCCAAATATTTATATATTTTTCTTCTTCTTAAAATTGTTAAAACCCTTAAGAGTGCAAACAAAATGGATGCACTGTTCCAGTCATTTAATTTACTAAGGGTATAAGATTTGATGCTAGCTAATATACAAACAATTAAAAAGGTAAATAAAATTGGACGTAATTCTTATTTGTTTACAAAAGTTTATATCAAAGAATCTGCATATTTTCTATCGGGCAAAAACACCCCCCTCCCTCCCCAAAGACAACATTTATGGAAACCAAAGAGAAGACACCTGGTGGATTATTTTTGTGTTATTTCCTTCAATATTCTTCCGGATGCAGTAGATGCATTTCTGAAACATTCCTTTGATAGGTCTGAGGAGATTTTCAGTCCTCCAGGTCATCGTTGTCTCAAAGATGCTTTTTCAAAAAAAAGTGGACTATTTTTTTTCCCCTGAGGAAGAAAAAGAAGATGTTTGGCTTCTCATCCAAGAACCGATGAAGCTTCTTGGATGAGAAGCGAAATGTCTTTTTCTTCTTCCTCAGGAAAAAAAACAAAAACTCAGCCCAGTTGCCTTTTGAAAAAGCACCTTTGAGATTCCTTTGCTTTCTCCCTGGTTGTAGAACTCCATCCGTTGGTATTATCACGCTAAAGCAACCAGAGAAATGAGAAAAGTCTTCTATCTTCACCATGACGTTGAAGGGACCATCAACACCAATAGAAATGTTACAGTTGATGAAGAAGTGGTAAAAGCATTTAACCTGGATTGAGAATTGGTGACTTTTCCACCTGGTGGGATCGAAACAATAGAAGAAGAAAAATTACTATAACATTTTGGAAATGGTACTCTTGATCATATTCATTGATCATATTCCTTTCTCTCTGAATCAGACAGATTCAGGGTGGTTTACTGAGAACATCAAAATATAGTAACATTACAAAGATGTTGTCAGTGTATAAGAATCTATGAACTGGAATAGTCATAGCAGCAAGCCAGCCAATGGGAACTGTTTGGTGACTGAGACATAGGATTTGTTGTGTGAGCCATGTGAGATGACTTGGAGCCTGGGCGTGGCTTAGCTTAACTGTTCTGTGCTGTGTGAGAGTTGGTTGGTCTTTGCTTAAGAGTACTTGGTATTTTCTTCTTCTCTCTACCACGTTGCAAGAGCTGCATGGGTATTGTATACATGCATCATGTTTTATATTATTGTATATGAAGAAGTTTCTTCTATATAATGAATCCTGCTGAATTATTTGCTTGTATGCTGGCTGGATCGCTACAAACTCCCGACAGAGGAAACAGTCCACAAAAAATAAATATAACAAGACAATAACCCTAACCATCAGTCCTATGACTATTGCGACAATAATTACATCATCACTTCTATGGAAAAGATCTGTCCTAATGGCCTTCAACTCTAACTGTCTATGGAGATTCCCGGTCATCCAGGTCATAGTTGTCTCAAAGGTGCTTCTCCCCCCCCCTTCCAATGGCAACTGGACTGATTTTTCTTGAGAACAGCTTCTTGGCTGAGAGGTCCTCAGTTCTCAGCCTGAATTGCTGAATCTTCAGTCCAGTTGCCTTTTGAAGGAAAGAAAAAGCACTTTGGGACTTCAACCCTAACATGCCAATATTGAGGTGTGATTTAATGACAGCCTGGGATGAATAGCCTGCAATATAGAACTTGAAACAAAGATACAGGTAGTCCTCAATTTAGGACCACAATGGAGCCCAACGTTTCTGTGGTTAAGTAAGTTAAGTGGTGAAATCTAAAATTTGTTACTACTGGTTCTGTGGGCATGGCTTAGTGTGTGTGTGTGTGTGGGGGGGGTTAATGTGACTGGGTGGGCGTGGCCAATTTTTTTTTCTTTTAAAACCATTTTTTACATGTAAAACCATGTAAAAAAATGCTTTCAAAAGTCTCTGACGATCCCAGCTGAGTTGCCTGATCGGCAGAGGGTTTTTTAAAAAGCTTGGATCTTTAAAGAGCTTGGATCATCAGATCTTGGATCATCAGAACTTGACTCGTCAGAGGCATTTAAAAGAAAAAAAGCCTCTGATTATCGCCTGGCTCAGCTGGGCATGGGGGGCGGGGGCAGGGATTTTTGCTACCGGTTCTCCAAACTGCCCGCTGCCATTGCCACCTACTTGCCCGAGCCGGTCCGAACCGGGAGCATTTCACCCCTGCTCCATGGTCATGTGGCTGGCATGACTAAATGCCAAAGGCACATGGAACGCTGTAACCTTCCCACCAGAGGTGGTCCCTATTTTTCTACTTGCATTTTTTACATGCTTTCGAACTGCTAAGTTGGCAGAAGCTGGGACAAGTAACGGGAGCTCACCCCATTATGCGGCACTAGGGATTCGAACCACTGAACTGCCGACCTTTCAATCGACAAGCTTAGCGTCTTAGCCACTGAGCCACTGCATTCCTTTTAAGAATGTAAATACTGAGAGCCTAATTGTGATAATTGCCTTACCTGAAAAAGATGGTATCCTGATTTGGCTGCTTGGGGTACCATCTCCTCCTTCACTCACTGCACAGACTTCAATGATATAGACACCCACGTCAGGGAGAAGCACCACTGCAGATGTTTTCTGTGTTTCAATTACTTGGCTATTGCTGTGTCCTTCTTGCCTAAACAAGACCTGTTGGAGAACAGGGAGAATTGTAGAACTCTAGTATTCAATCAGTATCTAATTCAAATTCAGAAAAACAGCAACAGAATAAATACTAAGTAATTTAGGATTTATTTGACTAATGAAGGGTCTCTTTTAGTGACTTCATACAAGTTCTATAACAGAGTAACAGAGCTGGAAGGGACAACTTCAGGGAAACAATATACAATATACACCAATAACAGAGTAACAAAATTGGAAGGGACCTTGGAGTCCAACCCCCAGCTCAGGCAGGAACCCCCCTAGTCCAACCCCCCTAGTCCAACCCCAGCTCAGGCAGGAAAACCCTATAGCATTCCAGACAAGTGGTTGTCCAATTGCTTCTTAAAAACTTCCAGTGTTGGAACACCTACAACAGTGATGGCTAACCTTTTTGCCATCGCGTGCCAAAATTGGGGGAGCATGGGGGGGGGTTGTGCACACGCGTGCCTACACCCATAATTCAATGTGCTCCACACATGCGCATGCAACCCCCCTATACCCCCCCTTTTGGCATGTGATGGCACAGTGGGCCTGGTAGGCCCGTTTTCCTCCCTCCCCAGGCTTCAGAGGCTTTCTAGGAGCCTGGGAAGGGAGAAAACGGCCTTCCCCACCCCACCAGAGGCCCTCCAGAGGTCGGAAACAGCCCGTTTCCTAACTTCCAATGGGCCTGGAAGGCCCATTTTTCACACTCCCTGGGCTCCTAGAAAGCCTCTGGAGTCTGGGGAGGGTGAAAAACGGGCCTTACGGGCCCACCGGAAGTTGGGAAATGGGCCGTTTCCAGCTTCTGGAGGCTGGAAACAGCCCATTTCCCAACTTCCGGTGGGCCCAGAAGACCCAAAAATCAGCTGGTTGACACATGCATGTGCACTGGAGCTGAGCTAGGGCAATGCTCACATGCCCACAGATATGGGTCCGTGTGTCACCTTTGGCACGCATGGGATAGGTTCACCATCACGGACCTACAACTTCTGGAGACAAGTTTTTCCACTGATTAATTGTTCTGTCAGGAAATTTCTCCTTAGTTCTAGGTTGATTTTCTCATTATTAGTTTCCATCCACACACACACACAAAGCAGCAAAGCATTTGTTGTACCAGTTTGGCTTATCTTGTATTGCTATATTATTGTCTATTCATCCTGTCATAAAATTAATAAGTTTACACATATTGGCCTATTGAGAACCATAGTTTGCTAAATAAGCCACAACAGGATGGATTCTATTAGATGTATAAGCTATATTTAAAGTTGCAATAGGTTTCCACAATTTGGGCCACTAATGTATATTTTAGTGTGTTATTCAGGCCGGGTCATCATGTTTAAACTAAGGTTAGGAAAGTTGGAGAATGTTGTAGGCTGATTTATTCCTTTCTTTTCGGGCACAAGCATGAATGTTATCATATTTCTGCCAATGCTAAAACTAATTTACAGTAACTAAGATGAAACCTAGTTGGTAGCATGTAATACTGAACAGGATGCTAAAGGAACTGTATAAGTCTGCACTCTGGAAATTCTCAGATTTGAGTCGAAAATTACAAACGAAACACCAATATAGACATAGTGCTTGATCATTAATCATCATTCTTATCTAACTCACTGTAAGCATTCTCATACAGTGCAGTTTTCACTCCACCTTCCACCTCCAAATCCCACCGAAATTAGTTTGATGCCCATCTTTGATTGTCTTTATTTCTACTGGTCTCAAGATGTTGAAAATGGGCAGAGAACACCATAAATCGGTCAGATTCTGCAGCTCAAAAGAAGAGGCCAAAGAGCATCCAGCCAATAAACTTCTGAACCCATGAAGAGTATCATGTTTTGAAACCAAACAATTTCCATTTGCTTACATTTAGGCAAGAAAAACCAAATGCACAGATATAGTATAGGTGGGAGAGATTTTGGAACCCTAGTGGACAATCGCTTAAATATGAGCCAGCAGTGTGCAGCAGCTGCCAAAAAAGCCAACCCAGTTCTAGGCTGCATTAACAGAGGGAAAGAATCAAGATCACGTGAAGTGTTAATACCACTTTACAATGCCTTGGTAAGGCCACATTTGGAATACTGCATCCAGTTTTGGTCACCACGATGTGGTGAGACTCTAGAAAGAGTGCAGAGAAGAGCAACAAAGGGGACTGGAGGCTAAAACAAATAAAGAACAGTTGCTGGAATTGGTATGTCTAGAGGAGGACTAGAGGAGACATGATAGCAGTGTTCCGATATCTCAGAGGTTGCCACAAAGAAGAGGGAGTCAAGCTATTCTCCAAAGCAACTGAGGGCAGGACAAGAAACAATGGGTGGAAACTAATCAAGGAGAGAAGCAATCTAGAATGAAGGAGAAATTTCCTGATAGTGAAGACAATTAACCAGTGAAACAACTTGCCTCCAGAAGTTGTGAATGCTCCAACACTGGAAGTTTTTAAGAAGAGACTGGACAACCATTTGTCTGAAATGGTATAGGGTTTCCTGCCTGAGCAGGGGGTTGGACTAGAAGACCTCCAAGGTCCCTTCCAACTTCTATTCTATTCTATTCTATTCTATTCTATTCTATTCTATTCTATTCTATTCTATTCTATTCTACTCTACTCTACTCTACTCTACTCTACTCTACTCTACTCTACTCTACTCTACTCTACTCTACTCTGCTGTTTTGAAACCAGACACTTTCCATTTTGGCTGTGGTTGTAGTTTACACTGTAGGACTAAGCAGAAAGTCTTGAAAGCAAAAGTAAAATATGGACATGAAGCTGCACATTTAAAAAAAAATAACCCAGTAATTATGGAATTTATAAAGAGGATTAGAACTGGATTTGTTATTAGGATTATTTTTATTCCTTAGCTTGGTTTGGCTGCAGCAGTAATTGCTGTAGTGTTTCTTTGAGCCTAGTTGCTGAGAGATAAAAGCAAAGCCAACAGAAAAAGAAATAAAATTCCATCCCCCCATGCACTATTCTCTTTGTCAAAAAAGAAAAGGGGAGGGAATGTCAATTTTTGCTTTCATGCTTTCTGATAAATCAGAACTCAGGTTTTGAAACATACGGTTGTTATGGATTTGAAAATGTCTACAGCAGTGTTTTTTGAACTTGGCAACTTTGAGATGCGAGACTTCAACTCCCAGAATTCTCCAACCAGCATGCAGAATTCTGAGAATTGAAATCCACGCATCTTAAAACTGTCAGGTTTAAAAAACACTGTTCTAAAGACAACAATTTGGGATGGGTGCAAGGAGTATGTGTGAAACATCCTATATATGTCCCATTTAATTTGGAAAATGAATGTGCTGATGAATATAGTATCTGCCCTCTATTGAACATTATTGAAATAACAGATGTTAAATAAGAAAGGGCAAGAGACAAAATGGAATAAAAAAGGGAAACTCAGGAGAAGATACATAATCAAATATATAACTTATAATAAATTCTAATAAGAATGCACTGTAATTCTTCAATAGAAGGATTGGCACCTTTTTCTCATTTTAATGATTTCATATACCTCACCTACTTGCACCACTACCATTCAGTGGCACAATTTTCCAGGTTTTTAAAAAAGCAAATTAAAAAGCCAAACAGATATGTGTGGTTTCTAAAGGGCTTCTCCCTTCAATATTGCTTAACCCAGTGATGGCTAATCTTTTTGCAGTTGCGTGCCAAAAGCCGGGGGAGCCCGGGGGGGGGGAGTTGCACATGCGCATGCCCACACCCATAATTCAATGTGCCCTGCCCCCGTGCATGTGTGCGCAACCCCTCCCTACATGTCCCCCCACTTTTGGCACATGATGGCATGGTGGGCCCAGTAGGCCCATTTTTCGCTGTCCCCAGGCTTTTTTGGAGCCTGGGAAGGGCAAAAACGGCCCTCCCCACCCCACTGGAGGCCCTCCGGAGTCCAGAAACAGCATATTTCCTGACTTCCGGTGGGCCAGGAAGGCCTGAAAATCAGCTGGCCAGCACGCACATGCCTGCTGGAGCTGAGCTAGGGCAATGCTTGCATGCCCACAAATATGGCTTCGTGTGCCACCTGTGGTAGGCTTAACCCATCTCGGACTCTGAAGCAAAGCAAACAAACAAACAAACAAACAAACTGGTTTTTAGCTTAATCCAGGGATGGGCTTCAAAAATTTTAGGAAGGGGTTCTCTGCCCAGTTGTTGGGTGAGTGTGGCCATGGTGGGTATGGCCTAGTCAGCCTCCTGCACCATGGTGGGGGACATTTTGTTCACCCCGGGCTCTGGAGGCTTTCCTCGAGCCTCTGGGAGGAATCCGGAGGCCCTCTGGAGGCCGTTTCCGGCCTCCCTACACTTCCGGTAGGCCCATTTTTCACCCTCCCCGAGCCTCTGCACGTGCCCTGCACTTACCTGCATCCAAAATGGGCCGCATGGGGACTCCTGGGGTGGGATGGGTGGGGCCAGCCAAGAGTGGGATTTGGGGTGTCTCCGAACTGCACAGAATCTTAGCTAGAGGTTCTCCTGAACCCCTGCGAACCCCCAGCAGCCCACCCCTGGCTTAATCACCCTATCACCACTATGCGTCTTCTGCCTTAGAGATTAAAGAAAAACAATGATCCCAGAAAGAAAAACAAATGCTTTCCCCTCCCCGTATATTTTAAGTGTCAGAAAATAAAGGGATAAATCAATCAATAAGTCTGAATATATATATATAATATTTTTAATGTGGGCCAATAATTATTTACAGCAATCCAAGAAATTTGAAATCTTGCAAAAGACCCATTTTTTTTAAAAAAAAGATGAACAGATGTTTTGAGCACAGATTGCTGGATATCCCCAACACAATCATAACAAATCTCTATGTTTGCACTTCTGCTCTATAAAAAAAATATTAATTTTAATGGCATCCCGTGCTTCTGCATTTCCTTAAATCCTACTGCAAATATTGTCAAATTGAAGTGTTGGTATGGCTTTTGCTGCAGTCTGCTCCAATTAATAGCCAGATGGGGTAGTGTTAACAGCATCAAGCAGCACATATTGCCCTGTTTATAGTCCCTGGTTGAGGATCAGTCTATGCAAAATATAGTCACACATTTCACTCAGTTTTAGTCTCTCCTTCAAGTAAAAGTTGCTGCTTTGTTTGAAATCTGTGTTTCAATGAAAATTGTCTGCATTGGGAGGATAGGATTAGTTAGACACTGAGACATTGATGAACATGAGTTGTTCAAGGGAAGAAAGAGTAGGGAATAGGATTGAATCCCCATGTTCTCTTAATAGAAATCAAAGTTTTGATGCATGTAGATTGAAGTTGCCAAAATATGGGTTTTGCAATAGGTTTTAAATGAAAATATCCTGAGTAAACCAATGGGGGGGGGGAATCCATTTTCATATATATTTTTTTAAATTTGATTTATATGCCGCCCTTCTCCGGAGACTCAGGGCGGCTTACAATGCACTAAGCAATAGCCTTCATTCTTTTGTATATTTATACAAAGTCAGCTTATTGCCCCCACAACTGGGTCCTCAATTTACCTACCTTAGAAAGGATGGAAGGCTGAGTCAACCTTGAGCCTGGCGAGATTCGAACCTGCAGTAATTGCAGGCAGCTGTTCTTAATAACAGGGTGCTTTAGACCACTGTACTACCAAGGCTCATTGATTTGATTGACATGTATCTTTGTTAGTAATCACTGAACAAAAATCCAGTATTAAACTCTTGATTAAAATTAAGATTTGATATTTTTCTTAGACGTCAGGGTATATCATAAAGGAGACTCTGCCCCAGCGGTGAAAGCCAATTTTTTTTACTACCGGTTCCGTGGGCATGGCTTGGTGGGCATGGTGTGGCTTGGTGGGCGTGGCAGGGGAAGGATACTGCAAAATCTCCATTCCCACTCCACTCTGAGGCCAGCCAGAGGTGGTATTTGCCGGTTTTCTGAACTACTCAAAATTTCCACTACCGGTTCTCCAGAACCTGTCAGAACCTGCTGGATTTCACCCCTGCTCTGGCCTAACTGATAGTTGTCAATAAAACTAGGCAGACAGTGGGGAAGGACACAGAAACGGACAAAGGAAGATCTTCAATGTGGTGCCTTTCACTATCCTGGAACTCTTGTCTCATCTAATTTAGATGTATTCAATTAAAAAAAAAGAGGTGGAAGGAAAAAGGAGTGAAACAGCACTAGCTAGAGCCTCGTGCTTATTTCCAAGAATGCTTCCCAGCAAAGTCCCACTAAACCTGGTGAGATATTCAGTGAAAATAAAAACAGAAGGTTGCTCCAGAACTTGCCCAGAAATAAAACAGCAGTAAGTTGAGGAGATAGATAACATTTAGTGTGGCCAAAGAGGCTGCTAGGAAACATGTTTTGATAAAGTGGAAGTTTTTTTGACTGGCCACCTCTGCTGATTGGAACAATTTTATGGGAGTTCTTGTGAGATGCTTTCAAAATTCTAAAGCTACCCACTAGTCCCAAAAGTTTAGAGACTCTAAATCAGAATCACAAAAACATATATTTCCTGATCACAAAATGTTAATACTAGACTTTGTTCACAACACTGACATTTGTTTTCCATTCAGAATCAATTTGGAAGTATCCTTTTAGAGTTTTTCCACGGCTGGCCTTCAAAGTCATTCATATATATATATATAAAAGGTAAAGATTTCCCTTGTTTAAATGTCCAGTCACATCTAAAGGGCAGCGCTCCAGGGGTGGGATTTAGCTGGTTCTCTCCAGATCGCACGAAACGTAGCGCAATTGCGAGAAGCTCTGCCCACCCGGACATAATGTGCAACTACTGCACAAGCGCAGAAGGCCATGCGCCAGTGGTGTGTTGCCCCTGGTTCAGACTGGTTCACAAGAACTGGTAGTAAAACTGGCGGGAGGCCCCGCCCACTGCCCCAGATGTCATCATCAGCGTTCTGTGCATGTGCAGAAGCAAGATGCACATGCGAGTGAAGTGAGAGTGTGCACGCGATCCCATTGCAAACCGGTGGTAAAGGTAAGTAGAACCCACCCCTGCCATGCACATGTGCAGCGGTGGTGTGTGTGAGTAAAGCGATCATGCACACACGTGTTCTCCCATTTGCAAACTGGTAGGGAAAGTAAGTGAATCCCACCTCTGCAGTGCTCATCTCTATTTCCTAACTGAGGGAGCCAGCGTTTCCATGGTCACATGATTGGCACAGCTATATGTTGAGGTGTACAGAATGCTATTGCTGTCAGAGTTATGACAGATGCCCTAATTAACTCATGAGCCTCAAGCCAAGTTTCAAAAGAAATCCAATTATTTATTAGGAGCAAAATGTCAGCAACTTCCCAAGTGTAGTCAACTCTGTTGCACGTAATTTACAGCTCAACTCTGACCCTATTTTCCCCCCTCCTCTCAGGCTGTGTCATAAATCACATTCTCCAATGAGGCACTTTCGCAGGCTGTAAAAAAACACACCTCACAAGCCGGCTCTGGTAATCTGAGATCCAACCTTGGAGGAAGGTATGCATAGAATGTGCTTTTGCACATGGCTCTTGAACTGCTCCGTCAGTTCTCCCCACTTTCAGCCCATGGCAACTCGAGAGCAGACTAGAAATGCTTTGCGAGTTGACAGTTACCTTCCCACAGAAGTGGTACCTATTTATCTACTTGCATGCACATGATTTCGAACAGCTAGGTTGGCAAGAGCTGGGGCAAGTATGGGAGCTCATCCCATTCTTGAGTCTTGAAATGCCAATCCTTCAGGTCAACAAATCCAGAATCTTAATCCCTAGGCCACCGTGCCGCACATTCTCTTAGCTTGTCTCTATCCCCTTGTCCCCATGACCATTCCCATCTATTGCAATGCCAGTAGTTTTCTGGGAATTCATTCTTGCAACTGGAGTTTTGTGAAGAATGTGAAATAGTGTTGGTGGTGCTGCAGTGAGTGTTAAGCATTACTGCATATTTATCATTATCGCAGAAACAAAAGAAAAGGATGAAGGAAAACCAGAGAGGAAGATAAATTAGTTAATCTGGGAAAAACTGACCTTGTATCCCATGACGTCTGACTCATTAGCTAAAGGTTTTACAGGCTCCCATCCAAGGGAAACATGGGCACCATCTTGAACCCACATAATGTTTGGTGCTTGACTAGGTGCTGAAAAAAAATTGAAAAACAAAATGTTAGAGGATTTTGAATTTTTTTTCCCAAAAGCTGCAGGGTGGGGGAAGGCAAGGAGAAAATTTAACCGCTTGCCCTAAACTTAATAGCTACTGATGAATCGTTACATTTCCTTTTGCTGTTGCAGATTAAAAAAAAATTACCGTATTTTTTGGACTATAAGACGCTCAGACTATAAGACGCACCTACCTTTTTTGGGGAGGAAAACAAGAAAAAAAAAATCTGACTCCCAGCAATTTGCCTCCTTGCAGCAAACAGCGGAGGCCTGTGTGGCAATAGGAAATGGCAATCCCTGCAGCCTGAAACAGCTGAGGGTCAAGAGGCCGATCCAACCAACAATCAGCTGCTTGTGCTAATCAGGCTGAAGCTGAAATGGGCTGTTTGCTGCTTGCTGCAAGGAGGTAAATTGCTGGGAGGCAGAGGCCAAAGAGTGGGGGCCAGCAGGTGGGCAGGGCTACATTCAGTGTATAAGATGCATCCAAATTTTCACTCTCTTTTAGGGGGGAAAAAGTGTGTCTTATACTCCAAAAAATACGGTAGCTTTGTTTTCCAGAAAGATAATTCTTTGTCGCGCACAAATAACAATAATAACTATACTTTCTCTCTCTCTTTTTTTTTTTTGGGAATTCATGTCCTTTGAAATGGGATTATGGATTATGCTAACAACAAGCCAAGAGTTGTTTTCTTGCTCTCGTTATTTAGTATGTAGCTAAAGCAAAGAGAGAAAAAGGAGAATTGGAAGGCAAAGATTGGTAGCCTACGAGATTTCTTAGTGGCCACATGGACAATGTTGCTTGGTGGTCCATAGCCTGCCGAGTTGTATGCCTTCACTCTCAGGTGGTACAGGGTGTAGCCTTCTAGCCCTGTGAGAATGACAGAGGACTCATTCCCTTCTGACCTGGCCTTCTCTGCCGCTTCTTCTTGTTCCATATCTTTCCAGTAGCCAACCTGCCAATGAAAGACAATGGGTTGAGTAGAGATCATTTGTAAAACGCTCCTTCGCACTTAGGGTTACTCTTACTATTCATAGTCTATCCCAAAGGTGCCTTTTTCAGGAGGCAACTGGACTTTCTTGTTTTTTTTTCTTTGAAGACATTTCGCTTCTCATCCAAGAAGCTTCTTTAGCTCTGACAGGATAGCGGGGGGTGGAAGGATTTATATTCCTTGCAGACAGCTGGACATTTGCATCCTTTTAGCAGGTCATTGAAGCACTTGAAGGTTTATCTGTGTCTTCAGGGTCACCTGAGTAGTGCTCCTGATTGCTGTAGTCTGCTCTGTTTTCCTCTGGAAATTCATTCCTACTCCTACACCATTCACACCAGTAATGGATTTCCAGAGGAAAAATTGCAGACCACAGGATTTTTCTCATTCTCATTCTCATTCTCATTCTCATTCTCATTCTCATTCTCATTCTCATTCTCATCTATCTATCTATCTATCTATCATCTATCTATCTATCTATCTATCTATCTATCTATCTATCTATCTATCTATCTTCTATCTATTATTTATTTATTTATTTATTTATTTATTTATTTATTTATTTATTTATTTATTTATTCATTCATTCAATTTATATGCCGCCCCTCTCCGAAGACCCAGGGCGGCTCACAATACTCAAAAAATCACTATAAAAACACTTAAAAATTAAAAACATTAAAAACATTAAAACCCATTCACACCATTCATGGCCGGATCTCGTCAGATCGCAAAGCGAGATCAACAGCCCCAGGCCTGCCAGAAAGCCAGGTCTTCACCGCTTTCCGGAAGGCCAATAGGGTGGGGATGGTCCAGACCTCAGGAGGCAACTGGTTCCAGAGAGCTGGGGCAGCCACAGAGAAGGCCCTCCCCCGCGGGCCTGCCAGCCGGCATTGTTTAGCTGACGGGACCCGGAGGAGACCAACTCTGTGGGATCTTACTGGTCGCTGGGAGCTATGCGGTAGAAGGTGGTCTCGAAGATAACCTGGCCCTGAGCCATGTAGGGCTTTAAAGGTAATAACCAACACCTTGAATTGTGACTGGAGAACAATAGGGAGCCAGTGCAGCTCGCGGAGAATTGGTGTAATGTGTTGTACCTAGGTAAACCCACCACAGCTTGCGTGGCTGCGTTCTGGACCAACTGTAGTCTCCGAACACTTTTCAAGGGTAGCCCCATGATCTATTTATTATCTATTATCTATTATCTATTATCTATTATCTTCTATCTATATCTAACTTCCTGCCTATCTATATGAACTTCCGGGAGGGGCCATCTTGATCCTCTTCTGCCTACCAAACTTTCTAAGCTCTGCTGCCTCTTTACTTCTGAGAAGCAGCCCCTCCCCTTGGGACCCCAGACTACATCCCACCCTACCCAACTACGTAACCTGGTCAGTGCTAGTGGATGTGGGGCTTGCTCCCTATTTAGCTAGAAAATAGTTAATCCTAGACTGCCAAGTAAATTGCGTGGTGACACAAAACTGCAATTTTTTTTAGCTCACCATTCTAAGCACTACCTCATCCCTACTCTTCTTCTCCAGATTGCCTTCTGTGTTCTGCTATTCCTGTCATTTATCATGCTTTTGCTGGTGCCTCCTGCATACAGTAGATAGGCAGTAAATAGGGGAGAACCAGAATGAGTGCAGTCAGGAATTCCAAAGCAAATTCGAAGTCTCAAGGGTAGCTCACACGGGTAGGTCTTCAAAGAAATCAGCTATTCATCCTTAGCCCTCTTTGACTGAATTCAGTGAGGAAATGACAGAAACAATATTTCCTTCTCTGTCAGCCATAGTGCACAGAAGAGGAAACTCTTCATCCAAATAATGAATTGGAGATGACAGAACACCTGAGGAAACATTGCAATGGTCTAATCATACAGAACCAGGATCGCTGAGGGACAGAGAGAAGGGTTTTGATTTGTGTTACTCTGAGAGGAACTGGTTTCTGTTGAGTGTAATTCAGGGGGAAAAAAACCCCTCTCTCTGGAATACCTTCTCTTCCTTTCCACACAAGGCCGAAATAGTTTTTGATGTTTACAACTCTGGCTGTCAGTGTGCCTTTTCTGAGCTTCTCCTACACTTGGGATTATAGGCCTGCAACGTATGAATACAGAACAGCTCCTTTGCAATTCATTCAGGGCAGCTACGCTCTTTGTACTAGATCTTATGCAGGGTTCGTCTCCATGTCTGTATAGAGCAACAAGAAACATTCTTATTTTAGTGCGAGTCTAAAATTACCCCTATCCTATGCATTCAATACCACTGTCATTAAATTATCTATGTCTCTACCTACACCACTCCTAGACTAGTCTTTGTTGGATATTTAAATTATCGAGAAGAGGGTAATGGAAACCATTCCAGTAATGTGGCCAAGGAAACTACATAGAAGCTGACATTGAGAGCTCAGCTCAAATAAAAAAAAGTCAAGTTGGGTAGCTGCCGGAGGGGATGAAAAACGGCAAGAAGTGGCTATGATGCTCCATTCTTTACATGGAGCACATGTGCAGCACACTTCAAAAATGGAGGGTTTGACTGTGCAGTTGCAGGGGCTTTTTTGCCCCTCTTGTGGATACCTCTAATTTTCAAGTGGTTCTATAACCGTGATGGTGAACCTATGGCACACGTGCCACAGGTTGATGGAGAGCAAAAAAAGTTTGGAAAAAACCCACAGGGAAAAAAAAAAACCCACCTTGCTGATAATATGCTTGCATGAGATGGATTAGGAGATGTGAAAATTATACCTAACAGTCTAGGGATTTAATGCCTTGCTTAGCATAATGGGGAATCCAATCCTGAGTGAAATACTTGATCTTCTTTGCTACCAACATATTCTAAAGATTTAAATCTCGATTTCAAACAATGCTTTTAGCAGATCAGGGAGAAAAGGACCCTCCCACTATTCAGACAACCCAGATTATATTTTATATTAATACCTCAAACCCCTGAGGTCTTCCTAGGCTGTCCTTGTTGTGACTCCACGCAACAAGAATCTCTGATACAGACAGTCCTGTAGCCTTGACATCAGTAGGAGCAGCACTCGGTTCTGCAGTAAAGAAGAATCAAAATGATAATGTTTGGTTAAAGCAGTTTGCATCTAGAAAAGTAAATTTACTCTTCCCAATCATCTCTATTATTGGTAAGGATAAAACCTCCTAGCTGTCCTGAGCAAGAGAGAAGCAATCATCTAAAACCCAACTGGGTTTTTTTTTACATTATATTTCATCATCTTCATACTATTCACCTATCTGGAATTCTAATGCTAGTAATCTCCTTTTATGCATGTGCATATTTCTTGGAAAGCTAGCAACATTATGGTGGGCACAATATGGTTGCAACACTTATTGTTGTTGCAATAATACCACTGTTCGTCTTTTAACTGCTTTGTTCAAATTGTTCAAGGGGACTAACTGCTTTAAACTTATTGTTGTGTTGCAATACCAATTGCACTTAGACTTATATACCACTTCATAGTGCTTTACAGCCCTCTCTAAGAAGTTTATAGAGTCAGCATATTGCCCCCAACAATCTGGGTCCTCATTTTACCCATCTCGGAAGGATGGAAAGCTGAATCAACCTTGAACCGAACCGGGCCAAAATTTATATATATTTTTAAATGTTTTTTAATATTTGTATTCTATGTTTTTTATCTTGGCTGTACACCGCCCTGAGTCCTCAGGGAGAAGGGCGGTATATAAATTGGAAATTAAATTAAATTAAATTAAATTAAATTAAATTAAACTGAGTTGAGAATCAAACTCCTGGACTGAGCAGTGAGTTAGCCTGCAATACTGCATTCTAACCACTGCGCCACCAAGGCTCTTGAGATAGAAGCAAAGCAATGTTTATATCCCACATTTCTGCAAAAAAGTGTTTGCAGCAGCTTGCAATAAAATACATTAATGTAATCACAAAAAGAAATAACAACCAAAGGCTGTATTAACATTCTATTGTTATATTGGGAAGAGTGTAGGCAGAAAATACTGCTTGTCTTTCCATCCATTCTGCAGACTTCACTATTTCGCTCTGTTTACAGTTTTTATTGTGAGAACCATCCAACACAAAACTACAGAAGAATCTAAATTTTGTGAAAGAGGATCTTCAAGCCAGCATTCTGACTGAATGCTGGTGGAGAAATGATATAAAATTTGAAAATACTAGTCCTGGAGGAGCGCAAAGTTAAGATATTCTCCTTGATCTTGAGATGAGGTAAGTAGTGTTTTACTGTATGAAAGAAATAAAACAAAATACAATTGCTGAATTTTTTAAAAAATGTAAAGAGAAAGCCTTTGATAAAAATTTAAATATAAATTCTGCAACAGCAAAGAACAATCCAACTATATATAATTATAACACTAGGTAATTCAGAGTGATCAATTATTAGTGGCAAATCAAAATCACATTACAAGTAGTCCTCATTTAGCAACCAAAATTGGGACTAGCGATTCAGTCAGCAAAATGATCTGTCAACTCCTGAAATGACTCTAGCTGAAGCCATATTTTCCTTGCTTCGTTTCTTAGTTGCCATGCTCATGGGGGTGGGGAGGAGAGGACTTATGGAATGTAGAATGTTTTCCTCCAATGTGCCAGACAAAACAGCGATAAGGCTCATGAGAACCAAGGTCAACTGAAGGTGCCCTAGCAACAGCAGGAAGGAGTGCTGAGAAGTTCATCACCTGCTTGGTTGGCTAATGTGACCTGTGACACAAGGGGGTGGCCAGTATCTATTCTTTAATTATACCAAAGTACGAGAGTTATTCAGTGTTGGTTTCACATTTGACCGTACCAATATGATGTACCCAATAAACAGGATTTTTGAGAAAGCTACGGCCTCAGAATCTTTAATTGATCTTCAGCTTTCTTTTACAGATGCGTGAAGGCTATACTTGGCAAGATCGGGCACAGTTACTTTTCATCCCCATTGTAAGTAAATGAGGCAGTCACTAAACAAGGATTACCTGTATTCTCCAGACTGAAATGTTAGAAACTTTGCTGTATCAAGAGTAAAATAGAACATTAAATCTAGATGGTCCATCCTGCAAACTTTCAATAAGAGGAAGTAAGGGTTCTCAAGAAAGAAAGCCCTTTCATTGGTTGTATATCTCCATTTAAATAATGACCAATTGTTCTCAGTTAGGGACTTATTTTACACAAAAGACTCCAAAAGATAAATCAGAACATTATTTCTGTACGGGGAAACTCAAGTTCACTTAAGTAATTTGCATATAACTTGTTAGAAAATAATGGTATGTGAATTGAATTGAATACTTTATTTGGTCATGTGTGATTAGACACACAAGGAATTTGTCTCCGCTACAGAAGCACTCCATGTATGTGTAAAGCAACAGAGGGAAGATTAATAATAATAATACCAATAAATGGGGAAATAAAGAAGATAATAAAAAGGATAAATAATAATATTACAGCCACACTCTATGGGCTAATAATATACATGCGCATTAACAGAACTGCGAGAGTTAGGTGTTCAACAGAATGATGGCACAAGGGAAAAAATTGTCTTTGTGTCTAGTTGTCTTGGCATCACAAATGCCTTACTGTGCTATCCTGAAGGAAGGAGTTCAAGCAGTTTATGTCCAGGATGCAAGGGGTCTTCAGCTATCTTCTCAGCCATAGCTTAATTAAGAGCAATTATTAAACAAAGCCACATTTTGCAGTGTGTCAATGTCCTGGAACAATCCCTTTCAATGCCATTTGCTTCATCCACATCAACTACTGTATTTCCCCGAAAATAAGACCCTGTCTTATATTTTTTTGAACCCCGAAATAAGTGCTTGGCCTTATTTTTGTGGAGGTCTTATTATTTTGGGGCGCGTGGAGCAAGATGGGGCTCCTCTTGCCGTCTTACCTGATTTCCAGCTCTGCGTTTAAATATTTTTGGGGAGGGCTTATTTTCATGGGGGAGGCTTATTTTAGAGCATGTGCTCAAAAGCCTGATTGGGCTTATTATCAGGGGATGTCTTATTTTCAGGGAAACAGGGTAATAGTTTAGGATGAACTGATCTTGAGTCAATGAAATGCATCAGGAAACGCTCCTCAGAACAACTGTGCCATAGTCAAGCATCAGATGCCCAGTTTGCAATGTATTTTAAGCACCAACTTCCATTGGCGCTGTCAAATTCTTCTTCGAAACTTTGAGCAAACTACTTTAAAGGACTGAATTCATTGAATCCCTCTTTTTACTATACGGTTATGAATTGAGTTAAAATAATATGGCCCCAGCAAGATTCTTTTTCTGCAATGTTTAAATAATTTAAAAAAATAAACCGTGATACAATTAAATATACTATCTCAACAAAGTTCCTTTTTGACCAGGGAGGACTTTCCTCCCCCCCCTTAATCTATGTACAAGTATTTGCATACATTTGAGAGGAAAAGGAGAAACAGATTGCCTTTCAATAACACTCTGGGAACAATTGAAATTGGGATTATTATCCACCCCCATTTTTTCCCCATCAAGCACTGAACTGTCTGTACTGACTGACTTTTATAATGGGCAACTTGTTATTGTTGTTAGTTGCAAAGTCATGTCCGACCCATCGCGACCCCATGGACAATGTTCCTCCAGGCCTTCCTGTCCTCTACCATCCTCCGGAGTCCATTTTTAGCTCACGCCGACTGCTTCAGTGACTCCATCCAGCCATCTCATTCTCTGCCGTCCCCTTCTTCTTTTGCCCACAATCTTTCACTGCATCGCTCTTCTCCGGTGAATTCTTCCTTCTCATTAGGTGGCCAAAGTATTTGAGTTTCCTCTTCAGGATCTGGCCTTCTAAAGAGCAGTCAGGGTTGATCTTCTCTAGGACTGACCGGTTTGATCGCCTTGCAGTCCAAGGGACTCGCAGGAGTCTTCTCCAGCACCATAGCTCAAAGGCCTCAATTCTTTGGCGCTCAGCCTTCCTTATGGTCCAACTTTCACAGCCATACATTGCAACTGGGAAAACCATTGCTTTGACTATACACACTTTTGTTGGCAGGGCGATGTCTCTGCTTTTTAGTATGCTGTCTAGATTTTATCTAATGGGCAACTAACAGGGCACAATCTCCATGTAGCTGCTTCAAACCTATTTTCTATAGTCCATGAGAACTTGTCCATTGAAATTTGATGGAAATTGCCAAATTTTGGTTGTGTATATGTTTGTGTGTGTTGTTGTTCTTTTTTTAAACACATGGTTAACACACTGTTTTTCTCTAATCCCTTGCAGAAATAGCCCAAACACAAAAAGACAATCTATTGTCAGGATAAAAATAAGAGTGGTGTGTTAGCCTAGTGGTGAAGACCCTTGCCTCCAACTCAGAAGGTTGAGAGTTCAATCCTAGGAAGGAGTAGATGTTTTTCAGCTAGAGTGCAAGGAAAATATATTTGTTGCAAAATGCTCCATTCCACCCAGTTACCCTGAATTAAGGGATTTGCAGGGTTATAAAAAGGGATTTTACTGTAACGATGAAGAAGACAGCCTTGAATTGAGAAGACCCCAAATTGAAACTCTCACTCAACATGCAGTTTATTGAATGATTTGGAGCTACTTGCCCTCTCTTAAACCAACCTACCACAGATAAAAGAAATAGACAAGGAATTAATAGGTTGCAGTTTCTTCCCCTGATGAATTTTAATTTTTTTAAAAAAACTGTTGTTCAATGCAGAAAAATTGCTGGTCTTTATTTTTTAATCCAAGCTTTCTCGCTGAACTGAACATCTTGCCTAGGGGATGGTATCTTCTCTTCACCTCTGTGGTGTAAATCATTTGCTTTTCCATGATACAGTAAATGAATTCCCCCGTTTTCATAGCAGAAAACAAGAAAATATTATGCAGTAAAAGAAATAATGTGCTTCAATATTTTCCACCAAGGTTACGATTTTCTGGGCAGCAGGAAGACCAAGTTTGCTATTTATACCTTTAAACTTTATGCACTGTGAAAGGCCTGCATTGGATTTTATATTACTGAATCAGTTACTTTGTTGTCAGGGAGGGTTGCAGTGGGATAAATAATTTGTGACCTAGACAAAATGATGGGTGGCAGGTCTCTAAA